TATTTGCAAGGACTGCACTTGGTGGATTTCTCAGGATCACCCCCATTTCAGATAATCTGCTACTCAGACCAGTGGTTCCAAGCTTTGGCTTGGAAAATCAGATCATAGCCTGCTGCCAGAAGTCACTCAAATGAGCTTATTTTAGGTAATTATTGTATTGACATCTATCTTCCTTTGCTCACTCAAAGCCATCGGCACTAGAAAAAATATCTATTGCAATTAGAAGCTGCATCTTCAGTTTCTGTAAACTAAAAGAAAACCTTAGGTGCTGTACAAACTGGAGAAAAAGGGTAGGTGCACCAGGATTTGTGGGTACCTGTGCCCCACCCCAACAGCATCATGGCAGGAGCTTGCCCCCAACCCCAGTGTTTGTGCAAACACTGTCATGCTCACACACTCACTGGCCAGCCCTGTCCATCCTCAAATTCAGAGAAACCACATCAGTGACAGCTGGAGGAATGGTAAGAAATGAAGTTTTTCACCAATATCCCCAAGACCTGAGTTTGTGTTTTCCAGATTTAACCACCCCTAAGTGCTACCTCCCTAATGCCATCCTCTACAAGAAGCATTCAAGGTAACTTGTGTTCTGTTATCAGTACTTCGGCACCTATACACACACATACATGATGGCAATATAATTGCTTTTTATGAAATCTCTTCATTAAGAAAGATGTTGGTCAGCATGAAAAGCATGAGTATATACAACAGTCTTTGAAAAAGAAATAAATAAAGATTTATTTATGCATAGAGGGATGAGGGTGTAGGCCAGAGGTGCAGGTGGTGAGAGGATTCACCAGAGACAGAGTAGGGAACAGAATTGGCAGATCTGCTGAAATACACTGCTGAGGGGAGCAGCAGGAGGGACAGAAGAGGTCAGCTGTGCCACGTGGGTCACCTCCCTGGCCAGGGATGGAACTCAGGCCGCTGCAGTGATAGCTTGATAGTGCTGAGACTTAACCCCTAAGCCACCAGAGAGGCCCCTACAACAGTCTTTAAATGAGAAACTAAAGGAGTTTTCTCCCAAGGATTACTCCTTAGGCATATTTGAGCTACAGTATTTAAGATGGTTTTAACATAGTCAACAATATGGAATCTGAACATAGCCTGTGGCAGCGGGTAGGGCCTGGGGGAGAAGAGGGGAATGATTATCACTGAGTGGCCATAACCACATGCCAGGCATTGTGCTCAGGACAACACATGCACTCTCTTGTAATCCACTGCCATCCCATGAGATATACATTACGTTTAGACACATTTCCTAGATGAAGAAACTGAGGCACAGAGATGTTGATCATTCAGAGATCTTATTCTAGTGTCCCACTTAGTTATTCTATGTCATCAGTCTGGACTCAGTACTGTCCAAGGGAGAAGCTTAGCATGTCCCTGGATTCCAAACTCTCTTAGTAAACAACCTATGCTTTGACTTTTTTTTTTAAAGATTTATTTATTTATGCATACAAGAACTGGGATGTATGCCAGAGGTGCTGTGGGGGCAGGGGTGAGAAGATGCACCAGAAAGAGAGAGCGGGGAGCAGAACAGGTAGATTTACTGAAATACACTGCTGAGGGGAGCAGCAGATGAGACAGGAGAGGTTTGCTGCACCATGTGGGTTGCTTCCTGGCCGGCCCAGGGATTGAATTAGAGTTTGTGCTATCGTGGTCAACAGTGGCTTGATAGTACTGTCTTTAACCCCTGCACCACCAGGGAGGTCCTGCTTTGACTTTCTATCTACCAAAAAACCTTCAGCTTATAATTTGGTCTCTTTGTTATCATGACAAAGAGAGTTTGGTGAGTAGTTTCTTCCCATAAAGGCAGTGGATTGATGGCTTCCCGCGTATGTCAGCCTGATGAACACTCAGTTACCAAGACTCAGGCCCCTTGAGCCTGAACACACCCAGCCTCCAGCATGGGACCAGACTCTGGAATGCTCCAGCTCCATCCCACACTGCTGGTCTCCACCATTTCCAACCTTCCATTTGTACTTTCGTTTTCCATAGATACCATGCCTCAATTTTACTCTTTAGCTAAAAAGGAAGTTGGCAAATGCAAACTTTTACTAACACTTTGAAAGCCTCACCCTCCATCATTTTGACTCTATACTCTTTTTCTCTCCTTTCCATATAAATTTTTTCTTTAAAAAAAAAAACCAGAAGACACCCCATTATCGATGCTTTCTTGGAACTGGTTGACTCATTCAAGTGTGGCAGTTTTATTAGTGTTACCACCAGAGCAGCTTGTCTTTGTCCACCCTCTGGGCTCTATCAAGAGTAAGTGACATTTCAGCTACTCCCTTAATCACTGTTCCTTTTGGTTCCTGGATCTAATTTCCAATGTGGAGAGGGGGTTCTCTATACCTACAACAAACAATTCTCTGGATACCAGTTGAGTGTCCAGAATTCAACTCAATTCTGACCCTATCTACCCAGAGATAGCATCAGGTTCAACATGTAAAGGACTCAGTCCTATCAGACAGTGCCTCTGGCCCCTCACTTCAAGCACAGGTTGATACCTATGCTTCTGATCAAACCCCCTCCTTGGGTTCAATTGCTAGAACAGCTCACAGAACACAGAGATACTTGTACCTAACAAATTACCCATTTATTTTACAAGGTCATAACTCAGGGACAGCCAGATGGAAGAGATGCAGTAAAGAAGGTATGGAGAAAGTCTGTGGAGACCCCACAGACTGGTGGGTGTCTGTGGAGACACCTGGGAGTGCTATTCTCCAGGTGTGCTATTCTCCTGGGAGTGCTATTCTCCAGGTGTCCCCATGTCTTCACCAACCCACAGGTTCTCTGAATTCCATCCTTTGAAATTTTTATGGGGGCTTTATTACATAGTCATGATTGATTAAGTTTTTGGCCACTGACAATTGATTCAAACTCCAGCCTCATCGCTCCCTGGTATTTCAACCTCTAATCACATAGTGGCTCTTCTGGCAACCTGCCTCCATCCTCAGTGCAGTTCAAAAGTCGACTCATTAGCCTAACGAAAGACACCTTGACTGTTCTCATTGCTTAGGAAATTTCAAGGGTTTTGGGAGCTCTCTGATCGGGTAGAAGATCAAATATATATTTCTTACTATAACTTACAACACCATAACTATGCTAATGAAATTCTCTATGTGTATGTACACATGTACATGTGCCATTCTCGTATAGATAGAAATTCATTACTTATAGTATCTACATATAAAATACATTTTCTCTGTTTTATCTACAGGAAAAGATCCAGTGTCAAGCATGAAATGTTACCATGTTTTAGGTGCAATCCAAAACTCCCCAGGCGCCTGTCCACTTACACTGCTTTTGAAGATCCGCCTATACAGGCATGACCTGACTCCACAGGAGGCTCTGTGAGCCAAGGGGAGCCAATCTTAAGACTCACAAACCTTATATGGGCCTAACGAGAAAAGTGAATTTGGCCCATTGGAGTCCTCTCCTTGAGTTTGCCTGGGGAACACTGGGAAGCGGCCTTGTGAGTGATGGTGCTGGGGGTAAAAAGAAGTTGTACATGTGATCAGGCTTAAGCCAGGACACGCCATGTGCATGCTGGCTTTGGGAGGAAGCAGAAAGTCACAGTGGTCTAAAGAGGGTCAAGAAGCTTCTAGAAACAGAGGAGGCGAAAATGGACTAGATATCCTGGTGTTCATGGTGATAAATGGGATAAATGAGAAAGAGGGAAGGAGCTGGGGCCTTGGGAGGAGGAAGGGAAAAGAACCAGAGCATCAAGGAAAGTTAGAAATGAGCAAATGACTGGTTCAATCAGAGATATGAAATAGAATCCTCTCACTTTGCTTCAAGCATCTGAGTGTCATATCCCTTACAAAAAATAAGCACTGAAACCCTCTGGGGCCTCCCTGGTGGCACAAGGGGTTAAGGCGCAACCTATGGGGCTGTCTGCAGCCACCACAGCGTGAGTTTGATCCCTGGCCAGGGAGCTACCCACATGGCACAGCAGACCTCTCCTGTCTCGCCCGCTGCTCCTCTCAGCAGTGTACCTCAGTCAGTCTCCCTGTTCTGCTCCCCACTCTGTCTCTGGTGAGTCCTCTCACCCCCCACATCTCTGGCCTGTACCCCAGTTCTTGTATGCATAAATAAATCTTAAAAAAAGAAAAAAGAAAAAGAAACCCTCTGTAACATCATAACACCCTAAATTCTCACTAATGACAACCTTGCCCAGCAGGACTGTCAAGCCTCTCCCCGGGTCTCGAGTAAGGAAGACCCTTCCTTTAACAGGTACAGATTTACATTTGTTCTAATAGCGTGTAGCTGACCACATACCAGACAAGGGTCAAGATAGTGCCGTGATAATTTATAAACTTTATTAGTGTGAGTGGAATAAACAGAGGCCCAGGGTCCACGCCGCTTTTCTCGACCTGGCCGGCAATGAACAGACTCCATTATTGCCAGTTGCAGTTACGCTGCCACTTAGCCTCAGGTATCATATATAGTCCTCACCCCCATCCTGAGGCTCTCCAATGTCATCCCAACCCTGATATGTGATTGGGTAGGAAACTTTTCTATAAACATTTTAAGTTACAGAACCCTTCCCTCTCTACGTAAAACAAACATGTTTCTATTTTAGTTGAATATGTGAATCTTTTCTATCATTGTTGCTCAATTCTCTATTTTTCAGAGAAGCTGGGCAGTAAGGGGGGTTACTGAGAAGTCAAGTCAAAATTAACATTAAAACACATTTTCCCAGGTCCTGAAGCACGTAAAGAAATGACTCCTTGACTTAATGGAGCTGCGAACACAATGGGGGAAATGTAGCACTTGGCAGGTGGCCTGCAGGGCTCATTATTTTACAATTATACCCAGATGTCAAACATCAGTGTTGGCATTTAAAGCCTACAGAGTGGGTGAGTGTTTAAAATGGTTCATGTGTCCCTTCTGCAAAAGTTAAAGTGAAGAGAAGACAGGTTTGTTTTACACAGCATGCGTTTTTCCTAACTAGCCAGTGACAAGTTGCAGAAAAGAGTTATACAGGTACTTACTATTTATAACCCATGGCCACATCCACAAAATACTTTCTTCTCTGTCGATAGACATTGTCCTTAAATCCCTTGAACAGAAAAGAGATTAAGTTATTTAACGGGGTGCCAAAAAATTAGCTGCAGAAGACCTAAAAGAAAATCACCGTGGCATTTGAGTGTCGAATTCAAATGTAAATTCTATCCTTGGATGACTGTCTTGATGACACACGCAGAAGCGAATTGTGCTTACAGTAAAACCTCATTAAATTTGGGCTGTACTAATTTGGGATGTATGGGAATTCTGGTTAAAGTTTACTTTTCTACTAAGTAGGCAGAATGGCTTAGTTAAACAAATTGGTACTGTGAACGGTATCCTTTGCTTTTCAAGTATCATTTACATGTAATTGATCTTAATCACAAACTAATCTTATCCTGTTCATTAAAACAGGTCTCTTTAACATGGTTACTTGGTCAGTTAGCCTGAATTTAATTGGTTTATGTAAATGACCAATAAATGTACATTTATTAAAAATTCTATTATTCAGAATAATCATCAAATCCCCAAATTAGTATGAATTAAAGAGGCTTTGCTGTATTTGATGAGTACAGCCACAGAATGCAAAATCAATTAGAAAGGATTCATGCACAAGACTGCAGGTTAGCTCTATTCCACCTGAGTTTATATGATTCTGATGAGTCTTTAGCCAGCTTGAGACTTACGCCCATCATCATGCACTGGGGAAATTAAACATCCTATCTGTCACTCTTCAGTCAAGTGGAATCCTTCTGAGAGGACCTCTACGTTTACTCAACAATCTCTCCTGTTGTCAACAGACTTTCTAGTTTCCTTTCCTTCAGGTACTTTCATACAATCAATTCTTTCTGGGGTTGTTTCTTCAAACTGCTGGAAGCCCAGAAGGAATTGTTTCAATTTAGTTTTTTACCTCTGCCAGCCTTGCAAGCTCGAAGGACACAGCCAGCAGGGCCCGCTCTGAGAATGGAGGCTAGGTGAGAGGACAGGCCACCAGGAGGCTGAGCTCTCAGCAGAGAACGTGCAGGGTCCACAGGGGTCTCAGCACATCTGCTGCCACCAAGCCAGCCCTGCATGGGGAGTGGTTCAAATGGAAGCTCAAACTCACTAGAAAATTGCCTCATTCTCTAGTCTAGCTGAAGGAGCATCGTCCCTGAGGACAGGAATCCTCACAGGACCCAGTTGGACACACATGAAAGCCTTCCATTGCCAACAGCCTCTCTCAGGAAAGACAAGAGAATTCCTAATAAATGAGAGCATGAGTGCCCTGAGATCACCCTATGATGTGTCGAAATTTAAAATGCCCGGTGCCTCCCTGGTGGCACATAGGGTTAAATCTCGGTACTATGAAGCTATCTGCAGTCACTGCAGCATGATTTTGATCCCTGGCCAGGAACCCGGCCCACATGGAGCAGCAGGCCTCTCCTGACTCACCTGCTGCTCCCTTCAGCAATGTGTTTCAGTGGATCTGCCTGTTCTGCTCCCTGCTCTGTCTCTGGTGAATCCACCCCCCCCCACCACTTCTGGCCTACACCCCAGCTATTGTATGCATAAATTAAAATCTTAAAAAAAAAAGAAATTTAAAATGCCATCCTAGAAGCTAGCACTTTTTTCTGTTATGAATTTGGCAGTTTTTAAATTGGGAGTCATAGGCAAGCTTGTGAAGTCTTAAAAGGCATACATACAAAATGTTGTGACCATGGTGACCACATTCGTAAATGGGAAAAGGACCTAAAAAAGATCTCCTGCTGTAGAGGATCCACAAGACTGTCTCAGCACCCATGAGGAGGACCAGACAATCTTAGGATGATGAGAGTTCTAAGCATCTTTATGGTTAAAAACAAAAACAAAAACAAACAAAAAAATAAAACCAGAAAAAAGCAGGCCCTGATGACAGGAAAGGAGTAGTATGAGAAGCTCAGCATCTGTTTCCCAGCTCCTGCCAAATTGGACACCATGGAAACAACATCGTAATCGGCTGGGTTTCCTGAAGAATCTCGAATGGTTGTCCTCAGCAAACACCTGCACCTTTTCCTGGCGTGCAAGAGAGTGATTTGCTCATCATGCCTCATTAGTTGAGTGCGGTGGTGATTATGCAAATGTCATGGGCAATCCGGAACTTCCAGGACTGAGCCAAGGACTGGCAAAATACAGTAGGGAGGCCAGCTAGCCTCGTGATTAGAGACATAGCATCCCTTGGCCAACCTTTCTGAACTGAAGCCAGGGAATAACGTTACCAAATAAAATAGGGTTACCAAATAAAACATGCAATAACGGGGGCATACACAAACTAAAAAAATGGTTGCTGTTTATCTGAAATTCAAGTTTGACTGAGTATTCTATATATTTATTTGCTAAATCTGGCAACCGTAAGGCCCAGAGAGTATCCACCGTATTCCCACCCTTCCGCTCTCAGTTTAGGTCAAGGGAATTTAAGCCCCAATCCACACTCTCAAGTGCTCAGCTACACATACGTTGGCACTTTACACTGGTGAAATATTAGAATTATCTGGGGAGTTTGAAATACCGTAAGCCGAGCCACATTCTCGGAGTTCAGATTTAAGCACTCTGAGGTGAGACCTTGGCCCCAAAGATTGCTTGAGTGGAAAGTTTGGGTCAGGAATCATTAAGATATTAATTTTCAAACTTTAGAATGCTTCAGAATCTCCTGCAAACCCTTTTACATGCAGACTCCAGGGACTATCTAGGAACGTTCTGATTCAGTGGGCTTCAGGGGAGCCTCAAGATAGTGCATCTGTAACAAGCTTCTAATGGATGGACTTGAACTACACATTGAAAGACATTCCCAGTCTAGATTCTTGCTACTTAAAGTGCGGTCCCCACACACATCCAGAAGCATCCAGAGGGAGATCCCTCAAGCCCCTCATGTCTGCATTTTGAAAGAGCTGCCAAGTGATTTATTTGTCCATTAAAGTTTGAGAGGTACCCACCTAGATATTGAACTCGTTCTAAAAAACCTCAGCAGCCCAGTCATATATCTGAAGTTCCTTCTAATCCAACCTAGCACAGGGTGAGTAGGGTAAATGACGTTGATCAGGCTTTTTATGCCATTGGCCTCTATGGCTATCACCCATGGCCTTGATCTTATTAACATAGAAGGCATGTGGGTGTGGGACAAAAGTGCCTGATTATGAACACCTGAGCATGTGTGTGTGTGCGTGCATGTGCAAGTGTGCACACCTGTGCCTAGGAGGAAGGGGCTAAAAGAGCGACATCACCCTGGGGAAGGGGGCTTGAGTTGTTATCTCCCTGCTGCTTATTTCCCCGCTTACCATTAAAACCTGTGAAGATGGGGCCTTCCTGTGGGGGTTAAGTCTCAGCACTATCACCACTGCTGCCTGAGTTCGATCCCAGGCCAGGTTACTAACCCACATGGCACAGCAGACCCCTCCTGTCTCTCCACTGTTCCCCTGAGCAGTGTATTTCAGTAGATTTACCTGTCTGCTCCCCACTCTGTCTCTGGTGAATACCTCTCACCCCTCCGATCCCCCACATACACCTCTGGCCTAAACCCCAGTTCTTTTACACAAAAAAATAAATAAATAAGGCAATTTTAAAAACAAAACAAAAAAAAAAACTGTGAAAATGATGCCAAGGGCTCCAAAATTTCTTTCAAATTGCTGGAACCGATGGTGAAACTTCCAAGCCTGGGATGGTTGCAAAACAGGGTGCTACCCTAAAGCAATAATCCCTGCCTCAGGACTGAAATTATCCCAGGCAAATAAGAAAGCCCTTAAACAACTCTTTCCATCCTCATTAGATAATAACTGATTAAAAACACGCATTTACCAATATCAAATTTTGCAAAATGAACATTTGGTGTGCTTATAAAAAAATTTAGGTGCTTTAAAATATGACAAATGATGTAGGAGATTGTTAAGTACTTGCAATTATTTCAAGTGGTTGCACAGAAAATAGGAGAAGGTATCATAAGGTGGGAATAATTAGGAGTAATGGAACAAAATTAAGCACAGGAAAATTTACACTGGGTATCAGAATAAATTTTTCACAGCAAGGTCAGTGGTTCCTGTCGTTGTTCCATTAAAATGGCTGACTCCCTTTCTCCAGGTTGAGTAATTTTCAAACTAGGCTAAGGGGAGCACTGGAAATAGGAGGTTGGCAAGAAATTCTTTACTGTCCAGGCATCGATCTGGATGATTTAACACAGTGTCTCCATTCCTGGAATGAAACATTTACTCTTGCCAAAATTCTTTCTAGTTGTTTTATTAACTAGGGTTTTTAAATGTCCCTTGGAGGTCAGTAAGAATTTTATTTCCTACTTTTTAACAGAGAATTTGAAGTGCAGAGGTAGAGGGACTTGTCCAAGGTCATCTTGCCTGTTAGCAGCTGTTTTCTGGGTAGTTCTATTATTTCAAAGCTCTCAAATCAGGCTTCTGTGCTACTCTGACTCCTCTGGATGTAGGGGAGAGGAAGATAATAAATGGATGATTATTAAAGGCACGTGAGTATTTTTCTAGTATTTAGGAACTTTACATGTGAATGACTGTGAATTATTCTGAAATTTTAGGCTATGGTGGCAAACATAACACACTGTCCTTGAGTGAATTCAGCTTTAGAAATGAATACAGTTGAATTAGATCTACTTGGCCAGTTCCCTGAATGGCAAATATTGAATTGGTCTGAATTGGTATATTATATCAAATGACCAGTTTGATTGAAAAGTTCTCTCTTGAAGTTGTCAGTTTCCTTTCAAGCAATGGTCCTCAAACTTAAGTGTGGGCTTAAGTGTGAAAAGAAGTTCCAGGGCCTCCCTGGTGGCGCAAGGGGTTAAGCACCTCACTATGGAGCAATCCGCAGCCTCTGCAGCACGAGTTCCGATACCCGGCCAGCCAGGGAGCAACCCACATGGCACCGCAGACCTCTCCTGTCTTGCCCGCTGCTCCCCTCAGCAGTGTACTTCAATCTGCCTGTTCTGTTCCCCACTCTGTCTCTGGTGAATCCTCTCACCCCCCACATCTCTGGCCTGTACCCCAGCTATTGTATGCATAAATAAATAAATCTTTAAAAAAAAAAAAAAGATGTCCCAGGTGATTCTGACATGGCAGGTCCTAGGAACACACTGGGAGAACCAATACATTGGGTACTCAGCTTTTCCAAGTTCCTTCATTTACATAAAAAGAATGGGGGCCCCTCTGGTGGTGTAAGGGGTTAAGACACAACTTATGAAGCTCACCACAGCCACTGCAGCACAAGTTCAATCCTGGACCAGGGAGGTAACACACATGGCGCAGCAGACCTCCCCTCAGCAGTGTATTTCAGTCAGTCTGCCTGTTCTGTTCCCCACTCTGTCTCTGGTGAATCCTCTCATCCCCCAAAACTCTGGCCTATACCCCAGTTCTTGTATGTATAAATAAATCTTTAAAAAAAATAAAACTTGATTTTAAAAAATAAGCAAATAAATAGAATGTCTATAAACCATTACCCTCAGACCAAGGGCCTCCTCTTAAGCACAACCAATTTGCTTGGGTTTCACCCTTTCAACTGCCTATTTTTAGATAAGAGGCACCGAGAAAAAAAAAATGCTCATAAGAAATGAGTATATTTCTTACCTCTAGCAGACTATTAACTATACTTCATTCTGACCATGAAGAAGCTCCAAGTCTCTTGCCTTAAATAAAAACTGATGTAAAGTGGGAGGGAGGGGAGAAAAGGAAGTGCTCACCTAAGTAAGTAAGTGCTTACCCAAGTGCTTATCTAAGTAGCATATGTCTTTCAAGGTGGTTGGGTTTTACTAGAGTAGTGGGGAAATGGTGGCAGATTCCGACTAGAGGTGGGAAGAGATGCATGCATCGCAGTCTCATTCTAAAACTCTCTGCCTTTCCATTAAGACTGAAGTCCGCCCCATCACTCTACTCCTAACTACTTCCAGTAAAGGAAAATAGCAAGGCAAGTTTTATTCTCTCACTGAGAGAGAAGAGGCCACAGTGCCTGGGCCCCCCGAGTTTCCCAAAAGGGTGATCCACTTCAGTTCACTGTTTTTTCTGGGGTTGCCATCTGGGAGTATATTTCGGCCTGAATAATTCTGCAGAAATACTCTCCAAGGTGGGCCTCCCTGGTGGCGCAAGGGGTTAACTCATAGCACTTGAAGCTATCGGCAGCCTCTGCAGCACAGATTCTATCCCAGTCAGCCAGGGAGCTACCCACATGGTGCAGCAGACCTTGCCTGTCTCGCCCACTGCTCCCCTCAGCCATGTACTTCAGTCAGTCTGCCTGTTCTGTTCCCCACTCTGTCTCTAGTGAGCCCTCTCACCCCCTGCACCTCTGGCCTGTACCCCAGTTCTTATATGCATGAATAAATAAATCTTAAAAAAAAGAGAGAAAGAAATACTCTTGAGGTTTAGAATCTCCTCCTCTATCCAACCCTTTTAAAAATAAACAGCGTCCTTCTAACATGTATCCAGCCGATGCACATGTACAGGGAAGCTCTATCATTTGAAGATTTGCTCTCACTGATGTGACAAAATACTAAATTGCTCTACGATGAAGCATTACAGCACATAACATGGCGCATTGCCTGGGACAGGTAGAGCCGGAAGAGCACGTGTGGAATGGGTGTTACTGGACACTTACTGGGTGATCGGCATCAAGCTCAGAGCCATACATGAGGACTCTGTGAGAGCATTTGTCTAACTCAGAGATCTTCCGGGGGAACCAGGGCACATCCTCTAGCTCTGTTGAAAACATAGTGCAGGTTCAAAATTATTAACTCACAGATTGTGTTTTCCCCTTTGCAACATTCCTCAGACTGCAAAATCACCCAACAAGCAAAAACAGGCCTTGCCTTCTTCCTCAGTCCAAATGTTCTCCGGAGGGTTCAGAGTCACAATTGTGGTTTGAAATTTCAGCAACTGAATGAGCTCATTGAATTCTGTTTTGCCACATTCACAATCCACAAAGATTTCTACCTCCGAACTTCTTCGCCGGGATTTCCTGGACTCGATATGAACCATGTTAACATGTTTTTCCTGAGGAAACATAAGCGACGTCTCTAAATCACTTTTAAGCCACGAGGAAAGAAAGGCTGGTTCAACTCTTAATAAGCTACTAAGTACCCGCAAAGGAAGAAAAGTCATTCTAACCCTTTGGTTGACTAAAACACGGAAATGTTTCCAACCGTTGTCTCTATTAATAGGAATAAAAATTGTGTTTGGGTTTTCCTGTCTCAAAAAAAGAGGGGATATTTAGGTATATAAAGGACCCTATATGCACAGCGCATTGGTGAAGGAAATTCTATGGGGACTACACCTAAGGGGGTCTGGGAAAGCAACTATTTTTTAAAAATGAACAATAATGTAAAATTAATTAATTAATTAAAAATAAAATCATTATGTCATATTATTGAAACCAATGTAATATTATATATCAAATATACCTAAATAAAAAATTTAAGGGCCTCCCTGGTGGTGCAGGCAGTTGAGCGCCACACTATGAAGCTGTCCACAGCCTCTGCAGCACTGGTTCGATCCCCGTCAGCCGGTGAGTGTCCCACATGGCGTGCAGACCTCTCCTGTCGCACCCGCTGCTCCCCTCAGCAATGTGTTTCAGTCAGTCTGCCTGTTCTGCTCCCCGCTCTGTCTCTGGTGAATCCTCTCACCCTCCTGCGAATCTGGCCTGTGCCCCGGTTCTTGTATAAATAAATAAATAAATCTTTAAAAATAAATTAATTAAATAAAAATAAAATTGTAAATAGTAAAAATAATAATAATAATAATAAAGGACCCTATAAATGTACTATAATTATAAAGGGCCCTATAAAATGTATCAATTCCCAGAGGTGTCCAAATCCCACTGGTGGCCTGCATGATTACTTGGGGTTAGCTTAAAATATCACATAATCCCAGACATATTTTTTATATTTGTTTCCCCAAAACATAACTACAACTCAAACCCCTGACTTTAGAGTGGTATAAAGTTTCCTTTTTGAATAATTTAAAGTTCAAAAATAAAATATTCTTTTGAAAAAATAAGTAGTCTAAATGGCAGGCAAATGAGGTCATAAATGGGAAGGTGACATGAAAATGACTGCTATTTGGGAAACACTGGCCAAAGAGTGCCCAACTTGCAGGAAAAGAAAAGGGAGCAAGAAAGATAGGCAAGAGAGGATGGCTGAAGGAAAAAATAAAACACCTCTAAATGGAACCACTTAGAAATTGGTCTAGGCTCGCTTCAACTGGCGTGTGTGTAATCTACCCCATGATGGATTTCAGGGGTGAAAGTCTTCTTGCTTAAAGATGTTCAAGGGAGCGCAGCAATTTAATATAACAAATCTTATTTCTTTTTTTTTTTGTGGGACCCTCGCGGGCGACCCGAGAATGAACCAGCGCTGCAGAGGCTGCGGGCAGCCTCACAGCCCAGTGCTCAACCACTGCACCACCAGGGGAGGCCCAATATAACAAATCATATTTAACTAACCAAGGTATGGTAGTCTTCTTTTCCCCTTAGTTAACTGAAAACTAAGTTCTCCTCTCCACTGTAACCTCCCCCTAAAGGAGCAGACACATCCCCCTCCCTGCAGATGGTGCATTCTGTCAGCTCAGTTCCTAATACAATCCTGGATGAGCTCAGAATTTTCAGCACAGGATCATGATAGGGCCTTCCCAGCACCAGAGTAAGATCAAATCAAACAGCATCCTACTCTGGGTGAAAAAACTTTAGTCCTGTGACCAGGAAACTAAATGCTCTATTTCTGCCTTTACTAGCCTTTGCACTAATGCCACATTTCCTAAATTGGCTGATCATAAAGGTAAGACTCATAATAAGTTCAAGAGTCTTCACACACATTGTATCACTTTGATGAAACAGGATAGATATTTTTAGATGAAGGAACCAAGGTCCAGAGGGGTCAAGTGACTTAGCTAAGACCCCATGACTATCTGATGGCTAAGTGAAAATTAGGAGCTGCTAACTACTTCTCCAGGGATCTTTCCATGGCACCCAGCTGGCTACTTGAATTGGCCTGCCTTTGGGCCCTTTATGGAATAGCATTGAATGATATAATTATGTGTAAAATATTTCTCCAGATTTCCATTACCACTGTTTACGGTGCCTGATCCTTTCTTCAAGGTCAAAAGAGAACAAGGAAATATTTGCCAAATCAGGCTGCTCATTTCCCTCTCTTGTCATCAAGGAGACATCATAATAATGTCTCATATCTACACTTTGTAAAGTACTTTCACTCAGGTTGTTCCATCACAACAACCTTGTTAGGTAGAAATTATTATTGTTGTGTTACAAATGAAGACAATGAACACAGGAAGCAACTAGTCATTAGCCAAAGCAGGACACCAGCTTACATCCTCTCACTGCAATTACAACCAGCTCTCTCCTGGGCCAGCCGCCCACAGCCCCACGCAGAGCTAGGCTCCATCTTGCAATTCTAATCATCAGCCAGTGCCCCCAAATTGAATGCATTTTAAATAAGGGTGTTTGCTGCAGGGTGGGGGAGACAACAGGTGTACTGGCAAGCAGACGATGTTTGTGTGGGGCTTTTCTAACCTTGTCTCAACCAAGCTCTTTCTCGAGGATTCAAACCAACGATTTGGATATAGAAAAGACTAACACATTTTTATAAGATTAAGAGAGTTAGCCCTAGATTTCATATATGAAAAATGACTCAAGACACACCAGGTTCGTGAAACAATGAGGCTAGAGGGAATACTGAGCGCCTATATTGAAGCATCTTGTTGTATGCAATAAATGTGTTCCTAGAACAATTCAAATGTTAACAAATCAAATCAGGCTGCAGGCTCTTGATATTTAAAGATACTCTGTTGACTCCTTTTGTGTTTGCATTTCCAGGTGTGAGCCTCACACTTTTTAATTAGTGACTTCCTCACCTGGCAACTGTCTGCAGCGTCACTAATAGGCTAACTCTGAATTATTAAAAAAAAAAATAGTTCGCAAAGCTGCTTATTGCATTGTTTGGCACACTCCCCTTGTGAAATCTCATAGAGTTTGTTTTCTTTGAAACTTTCAAACATATTTTCCGGAAATTGACTCAGTAATGTTTCACAACAGATGACAGGTTTGTAACCAGGCACACAGTCACTTTTAAAATAATGTAATGATATTTTACATTCACCTGAAAGAGCTTCAGCGCTTTTACCAATCCACCAACTTCATTTTTCAAGGAGAATACAACTGCTGTCTTGCCACTTTCAGTAGCAGTTTCACTTTTGCTGCTTCCCTTGTTGCCTTTTTTATCATCATTTCTGCCAGAGTTAGCTTTATTGAGCTTAAAAATGGTAGAAACACACACACATGCGTTAGTTAGGATTCCAGAGCTTTCTACAACTAGGTGTGTTTGGGGTTTTGTTTGTTTTTTCAGATATTCCACTCATATGCTGGAAGCCCCAGGAATCATCCAGACTCAAGGAAAATTTGCTATTTCACTCATAAGTTTCAATCATAAATATTGGTCTAATGTACCTTGGATACTATTTTCCAGTGCCCTAAGAGATCATCAGGTTGACGTTATTGGAGTTGAAATTAAGGGGGGATCAGTTTTGTTTCACTCTAACGGCAACGAAAATCTGATCATCATAAAATATAGTCTCATTTATGAATAATTCCTGCCTTCTGTTCTAGGTTCACTTTACAGCATGAAATTTGATCTGGCAGACGAGTTGAATCATAGGAAACAAAATTCATTACAAATGTACCAAAAATAAAACGAAACATATTTTTCACAGCAATAATCTTACTTTCAGTGATCTTAAAAACAAAATATTCATTTCATTCTGCTTTCAGGACATGCACTGAAATTAATAACCTCACTTTCCGCAATTAGATCCACATTGTCAATGTGACTCTGTCTGCAGAAATTCAGCACAAAAGAGTATATTCGACTGAGGTCATCTATGAAAAGAGATGATATCTTAAAAGTGGGTATTAAAATTCAGCCACAAGAGGCAAAGGTGAAAAAGAGAGAGAGAGAGAGAGATAACCAGGGTATCATTAGAAGCAGGGAGAATTTGAGAAACTAAAAAATTTTAACATGTCATTAGTCATTCAAGACACTATAATACATGATTAAATAATGACGATTAGTCCTACTGGTTAAAGGTAAAAAATGACAGATTCCAGATCCTCAGATCATACTGCCAGAAATGTGAATTTAAAAGCTGGAAGCTTTTATTTGACAGAGAAATCAAAATTAGTATGTACTTTTTTCTGTTCTTTACATGCCAAGGAATAACTGAGAAAACAGAGAAATATCTCCCTGACAAATAGTGATATAATACAACCAACACTGGTACTTCCTCATGAAATTGAGAAATGTACATTTGATATGGAACCCAACAAATAGTGACTTGCCACTGTGTTCTCTGATTTCTCTACTGGTTTTATTTTCACATGTTAGTATTTCACTCACTAGAGCTATATATCACAGAAATGAATATTTTATTATGTATGACTTGAGGGAGAGAATTTTATACAGGCATTGGCATTTGACCTAGTAAGTCTCCACATCTGCCCCTTCCTCATATAACACAAAGCTCTTATATATTTCAGTAGCATTTTTTACATGAAAGGGTCACACATTAATCATAACACTAGTTTCTCTTTGTTTTCCTTTTAGCAATTCATTATGACTTCAAAATTCCTCAATATTAATATCTCATCCAAAGTTCATGGTATTTAAGTATTAGAAAATCTACTTATATTTTTGTCTCACTTTTTCAAATTGACTTAGTTTACAGAACTTGCTCTGATTAGTTTTCAAAATTTTAGCAGCAGTAATCTACCAATACAGTATAACACTCTGGCATATATTTGGAAGTACATTATTAACACAGATTTTTTTTCTATGAATCAGACTGAATTGATAAATTCTGATAGCACAATAATGAAATATCATTTAATATTTTTATTGAGTAGGAATCTGGCTACATTTTTCTTTCACTGTCTTTTATTAAATCCATGATTTTACCTTTTAAAATGCTGGAAAATACTACTTTTTAATTTGTTGATATTTAACCACACAAACTGCCTTAATATTGAAATAAGTGTATTGCTTTCATTACTCCATAAATTAAATTGAAAAAAAATGAAGTACTGAGGAAAGCAGGAAACTTTTTGAAAAGAAGTCAATCTTTCTTTTATTCCAATGACCATCATTTATGTACAAGAATAGAAAACATTATTTCTGTTTAAAGACCAGGCTTTTCAGATGGAAGAGGATATAGCAGACAAAATATATCTATTATAAATAAATATGGAGCCATAGAAATCCATTTAATTTCTTCTCCCTGCTCATACTCAAATAGGAACTTCTCAAAAGTTCTAAACACTATTTTTGGTAGTGTAGAAAAGACATTCGCTTATCCAACCTCTCCTTCTTGATGTTCAGGAACTTGTTTTTTTTTTTTTCCTACTTAAAAACTTTGAGGTAAGGAAGTTTAGCATTAAGGATCAAGGAAGAGAGAAGGAGGCAAGGTAAAAAAGATACTAGAGAAAGAAGTTAGACGTATATGCTTACTCTACACCAGGTGTCCTTACGGTGAGGCTATGATCACTACCTCAGAAAATACTCCTCTAGAGAGTGCTAGCTACTCAGTACTCACTGTTAAGTTGCCAAGTAGCTGATGCTCTTCCGGCACCGCAGAATCCAAGGAAAACCCTCTCCTTGCCCAGTATTTACTGGAAAACATCATCATTGCTGGCTGCATGGATCCCGGTGTAATTTTCTTTCTCTGCAGTAGGGGGACTAGAGGGGCAATAGCAGGGCTGCTTGGCTTTAGAGAGGAAGGGGCATGCAAACAGCAGCCCTCCCAGGGCGCTGTCCAGAGCCCTGGTGCTGAAGAAAAAGCAATGAGAATCCTCCCCTCCCCAAGCTCCTTTATATGAGTGACTGGGGACTGATTGAAGGCTGATTAGAAAGAAACTCATTTCTGGCTGCCGATGGCCACAGTCAGATTACAGACCTGAAGCCTCGGGTTATCTGTGCACATGGTGCGATTTGTTTCATAGGTCGAGTAGCCATTTGGGCGTGGGAGTTGAAAAACAATACAGAATGGGGTGTTATTTGAAAAAGGGAACATCTCTCCCCTGACGTTAGCTCTCATCTCTCAAACCTTCTCCTGGCAAGTTAACCTCATCCTTTAGGTGACTACAAATTCAAAGGTTTTGTGCTTTATTTCCAAAAGGAGGAAAACAATTTAAGAAAGATCAGCACTGCTGAATCCCAAGTGTTTTTATTTTGTTAATAATATTTTTCTGATCTGATGTGTTATTATTGTGTACATGCACATGTATGAGAGAAAAATAGACATGGCTTTCATAAAAGGCGCTGCTCCTTGAATCGTGTGATACTGCTACGTGGTAATGTTCAGGCAACTGTATTGCAAACACAATGTTAGGCTCTGATTTAATCACATATAGATATAGCTGAGACAGTAACCCTAGAAACTTCCTGTCTACATGTGAAGGCAAAGGAAACTAAATGCTTGTGTATCAGTCATTCCTTTGATGCTATTGATAGTTACAGGATTTTTTTTCCTCTTCACTTAAAGCTTGATCAAATCCAACAATTTGAAATGCATAGAACCATTGATATATACTTACTATTCAAACTTTAGTAAGTCATAAAATTCACCACATCTAGGAAAATGTTACCAACCTCCTAAAGGATGGAAGAAAGACTCTCAACCAAATATGCTTGCTTAACCATAAAATTGAACAAAGACTGGGGCTGACACTGTCCATATAGAAAACAAGATAAAAATTTTTCAAAACAGGACTAAATGAACTTATATAATTAGACTTACTTAACTGGAGTTTTGAGGGGGTATAATTATTATTTGATCCAATTTTGAAAATATTATTAGGCTCACATTATTATATCGAAAGCTCCAAAATGTTAATGGGAAAGTCAAGCTTTAAAATATGGACTAAATTAATGACAGAAATGATAGATAATATTACTAAGTACTTAGCACTATCCTACTTCTATTCCTAAGCACGTTTTTAGGTAAAAACATGGCTCATTTTCATAAAAACACAAGGCCATGGCATTAAGGACGTAATGAAAATAACAAGAGACTTTAAGGGATAAAATTCATAGGACAATATCCCTACTGGATAGGGTAGAGCAGGAAAAAAGATGCCAGAATAACCCCCAAATTTCTGACTTGGGGTTTTGGGTAGACAATAGTACCATTCATTGAAGTAGACCACACCTAAATAATAGCTAACTCAGAGAAAATACTTAATTTACATTTTTATACATATCACATGTTAACGGTCAAAAAAGATCTCCAATAAGCACTTGAATATATGGTTTAACACTTGAAATGAGGCCTAAATTTGATAGAGAGACTTATGATTGTCAAATAATTGAATCTATATGAATATAGCTTCACTCACAGAGAATATGTTGTTTGAGAGCTGAGAACAGAATACTGGGGAACACTAAATTTAAGAAGAAATTTAAACTAAAAGAACCAAAACACAAAAATAAGAAAGAGAAAAGTTCAGAGAGATGGGAAAGAGAAAGCCAAAAGAAAACAAGTTTCTAGAGACAAATATAAAACTTGAAAGATAGGATTAAGGATTGGTTATTTGGAAATTTGAGTCCCAGGATAAATTTTTTTTCTTTTAAAAGGAAGCATTTATCATCTTTACATTGGGACTAAAGCATCATGAAAATGATATCTTAAAAGGATTTTTCTGATAACAGTGTGCAGTATGGTGTAAGAGGAACACAAACTGCTCTTAGAGGGAAGAGAACAGATAAAATCTTGAACTAGAGTGATGGCAGTTATGAATTTTAAAAAAAGTCATCAAAATAAGAATCAACAGGGAATTGGTGACTCATTGAATATTGCTTCTAGTAAAGAAGGTAAAATCACATATAAGAAGACAAACTATCAAGTCCTACTAGTGGCAATTTCACTATCTCCAAAGAAAGAGTAAGTTTTGGGAAAAGAAGAAGAGTATTGGGAGTTTACCACAGTACTATCAAGTCACAGTAAATGGTAGGCAATTATAAATGTGAAACTAAAGTTTGGGAAATAGATTAGAACTGGAAATAGAAACTTCAGTGTAGTTAGGTGATGCAACAGATGTACTCTCCAACTGAAATAATACAGAGATGGAGGAGAAACAAGAAGTAGAACCCAAGTGCACTGTGAAATGATGCAAACACTGTGGAAAACATAGCAGTTGTTCAAGAAAGTAAAAGTAGAGGGCCTCCCCTGGTGGCGCAGCGGTTGAGCGCTGGGCTGCGAAGCTGCCTGCAGCCTCTGCAGCGCAGGTTTTATCCCCAGCCACCGGCAAGGGTCCCACATGGCGCGCAGACCTCTCGTGCCGCACCCACTGCTCCCCTCAGCAGTGTATTTCGTCCATCTGCCTGTTCTGCTCCCCGCTCTGGCTCTGGTGAATTCTCTCACCCTCCAGCGCTTCTGACTGTACCCAGCGCTTGTATAAATAAATAAATCTTTAAAAAAAAAAAGTAAAAGTAGAATTGCCATATGATCCAGCAATTCCACTCTGAGTATATATCTAAAGGATCAAAAGTAGGATCTCAAAAGAGATATTTATACAGCTATGTTCATAGCAGCATTATTCACAATAGCCAAAATGTAGAAGCAACCCAAGTACCCATGTATGGATGAATAAACAAAATATAGCTTGTACTTACAGTGGAATATTATTCAGTCATAAAAAGGAAAGCAATTTGACACATACAACATGGATGAACTTGAGAATATTATGCTAAGTGAAATAAGTCAAATACTAGAAGACAAATACAAGAAGACAAATAGAGTATAATTCTACATATTGAGGTAACTAGAGTAGTCAAACTCATAGAAATAGAAAGTAGAATGGTGGTTGCCAGGGGTTGAGAAAAGAGAAAGTAGAAAAGGAAAGTTTTTTCATGGACACAGAGTCTCAGTTTTATAAGACTGAAAAGTTCTGGAGAACTTGCACAACAATATGAATGTATATAATACTATTGAACCACACTCTTCAAAATGGCTAAGATGGTAAATTTTATGTTAGTGCATTTCATCAGAATTAAAATAATAGATAATAAATCAATTTAAATACAAGGGAATGCAGGAGCTAAAGGCTTACAATTAGGAGAATTTTTTTAAAAAGGGCCTCCCCGGTGGTGCAGCAGGTTGAGCGCAGTGCTGTGAAGCTGTCTGCAAGCCTTGCAGTGCCAGTTCGATTCCCAGCTGGGAAGGGAGATTCCCATACCGCGTGGCAGACCTCTCCTGTCGCACCCCCTGCTCTCCTCAGCCTGTTCAGTTGTCTTCCTGCTCTCCTCCCCGCTCTGTCTCTGTTGAATCCTCTCACCCTCCGGTGCCTCTGGCCTGTACCCCAGCTCTTGTATAAAAATAAATAAATCTTTAAAAAAAAAAATTAGGGCCTCCCCGGTGGTACAGCGGTTGAGCGCTGGGTTGCGAAGCTGCCCGCGGCCTCTGCAGCGCCGGTTCCATCCCAGGCTGCTCCCCGGCCACCAGAGGAGGGACCCGCATGGCGCGCAGACCTCTCTCCTGCCGCCCGCTGCTCCCCTCAGCAGTGTACTTCGGTCCTTCTGCCTGCTCTGCTCCCCGCTCTGGCTCTGGTGTCTCTCACCCTCCCGCACTTCTGACTGTACCCAGTGCTTGTATAAATAAATAAATCTTTAAAAAATAAATTAAAAAAAATAAAGAAAAATAAAGGTTAGAATCGGAGAAAAGCATGTCTCAGCTGTAAATAGCATTGACCTAATCAATATTATATCGACTATACTGAAATTGGAAAGATAAAGAAGCATGCATATGTACAATGGCGGCTCAGAAGAGGAGGCAAAAGAACTGAATCTCCATCTTCCATGATCGGCAGTCAATGGGTGATGTCTAAAACTAAAATTAAAGTAGTAGCAACACAGGCATTTTTACAGCATTGAGAGGTATGGAAGTAAATACCAAAAGAACTCAGCTGAAAGTCAGAAGTCTTGCCACTGGGGAAAAGGAATTGGAGGGTGGTGTGAAGCAAAGGGACAGTTTCTCATGACAACAAACCTTGTGGAAACCATGTGCATGTATGACATTGATTAAGATAAAAACTTGAAAAAAATAAATTGTACTGCATAAAAAGGCATTGGTTTTAAATAAACTTGACTTTAAATCTTAGCTCTGCTCAAACCTAGCTGAGTATGAGGACATGTTTTTCATGAGTCTCACCTTCCGTTTCTGTAACACAGTGTCATAATACCTACATCTTATAGAGCTGTTATGCAGATTAAATTGGGTTTGCATCAAGTGTTTATCATGGTTTCTGGCAGATAGTGGATGCTCAAAGTATTAGTTATCCCCCTATTCCTTATATATTCTGAAGCCAGAATGATATAAATTCAGGCATTAGTTTGCAGTCTTTGGCAGAAATTAAAGCAATGTGGACAACTAGAATTTGATGAGATGGCTGTTCTTTTTGTCTGTGATAAGCAGGTAGCCAACATTCATAAGATGAGCCAACAGAATTGGTATGGACCAAGTAGTTAAAGAGCCCAAGAGTCATAAAGTGGAAAATGGAGTGGGAAAGTATTAAGTGAAATATTGTCAGATGAAGGGCATATAATCATGAACAGTCATGGGGGAAAATAGCTGAGAGATGAGGCAGGGTCCACAAAATCAGGGAAGTAATATGTTAAGGATATCAGTGAGTCCCCAAAAGAGGCATTTGTCCTCATTGAAGACAGTTATGAAAACCAAAACTAAGCCCAATCCTTAAATTATCTGGAAAATGGAAGTGGCTCATTGGAGGATACAAACTCAGGACAAAGATATAGAAAAGGGGATACAAGCAAACTAAGAAGCCACGGA